AGCCTGCCTGATAGCCACCCGAGGACATGGCTGAAATGCTCGGGAAGGCCGGTGTTATTTATAAAAAAGTACATTCAAAACAGACATTTTACAAATATCTCTATGTATGCCTCTTAAATAAAATAATATCCGTCGACGACGGTGATAACCAGGACAACATACCTGTTTGCTTGTATTCCTGCCTCCCCCGGATCAATTTCCCCAAACACAGTCACACCAGCACAGATGCTGTCGTCTAAAGGTGTTACTCGAGACAAACGTGGTGTAACTACGTAAAACCACAACTCTTCTCCGTCTAACTATTTTTCTAATTAAAATAAAAAGCCACGCAAAAAAAAAAAAAAAAAAAAATGAAGTTGCTCAACAGCAGCTCTTTCTTCCTCACACACCGCAAAAGATACAGGCCGCCCGCTCCACCACTAACCAAGTTGGAAAAGTTGCAGGTTTCACGAACGCCTCACCTTTTAACATCCGCGGAAATGTCTCGTGCCGATCAAAGAAGACCCTTTACGGCGGAACTCAAACTGTTGCACGCCGTCGTGGCCGCTGTTGGGGTCTCGTTGAATCCCTCGACCGTAAACACAAACTGGCAAATGGAGGCCGAGAGCCACGCCACTGTGCTCGCATCGACCGACCCGAGCGTGCACTCAGTGGAGCCAAAGCGCATGCACAGTGTCACCCCCCTTCAATGGCGCGTGATTCCCGGGCCGCCGGAGTGAGGGACGCGGGAGTCCAACATCCCGGAGCTTTCCGCCCCCCCTCCCCCGTATTCCCACCTCTGCGCACCGGTAAGGACAACTCCAGCAGCAAGTTTGCAGAAGGTTGTGCTCGGATGTGTAATCCCTGAATTTAGCGCTCAGACCTGTGACTTTGTGTCTCTCCCTTTGTATTTCCTTTACTTCTTCCACCTTTTCGATCACATTTCTGTTCTCACCCTCCCTGAACCGCGCGCACACACACACACACACTCCTCACTGCCCCTCTCTCACACACAAACAGTGGCGCTCTCGGGCTATGACGTCACACGTTTTCAGCCAATGAGCAAGCTCCCTCAGGAGGACTTCACAGGACAGTTTTTAAACATTATGTCAATGGCCTTAAAAATTACCTTAAACACGCTCATTATATTGTAACTCTTTTCCATTGAATAAGCAGAGCGGCTTCTCTGTTGATAACCCGCCCAAATAAAGTATTTAAACTGAATACAGGATCAACCACAGCTCACGATGTGTCCTCTGCAACTTGTAAAGGACACTTCGCAAACGAGTCAGAAGTGCCCTGTGTCTCCAAAATGGCGGTGGGAAAAACATATATAAGACAAAATTAAACATTTTTGCTTTAAAGTTGAATTAAAAGCAAAATGTGAAATCGCGCTATTGTTTAGCCATAAATAAGTCGTAATTTTTTGCTGCTCCGGCTGATAGTGTGCAGCTGTTTTAGGTGGCAGTCAGTAGCTATTAAAGTAGCCTAATAGCTTATAGTGCTGCACAAATCAATATTTGCAGTCTCTGGTACAAACAGAATTTAACCGGGAAGTGAATTAAAGTGAATCACTTTCTTTCAATCTATGGAGCAAACCAACCTTTTAGCAACAGTTTCACTCTTTTTGGTCCCTGTCCACAGTCTAATGTGTCCCCCAAAGGTGTTTATCATCTGAGCAGTGACGAAAATCCCTAAAATATATTTATTTTTTTATTTGTGAGTTCTTCCGTGGATCGCGAACAAAACGTAATAAAGGCTCAGCAAACCAAACCACTGCCCAACTAACTTTAATATCATTAAGAAGAAAATAGGACTAAGAAATTCGTTTCTGCATCGCGAAAATGTAAATTAAATTAAAAAGACGGTTATGCAAACGTGATGAGGGGAGTGGCTTAGCCTGTCCCTGTGACCCCAAATAAATATTAAAATATGGCGATTATGCTGCACATATGTGAACAAAGCTATTTTCACATGATAAACGCATAAAATTACATATCTGGATAAAGTGAAATGTTACCCTTCCTGTTTGGGAAATACTAAATAAATAAAACAGGAAAGCAAACAAAAACATTTCTCCATAAATATTCAAACAGGGCTACAGTGTAGGTTGATTACTCACCGGACAAGGGTAGACCTATGGGGTAGACCCAGGCAAAATTACACCGACAGGGCGGAGTCTAACGATTTTGAGGAAGTGAGAAACCCTCATGAGCCGACCCGTCTTTTGTTCTCCACGTGGAGGTCTCGTGGCGGTAGACTGCAGCTCGTTCCTACAGGAGAGCCACTCACGCTCACTTGATCAAAATCTTCACATTTATGAGCTCTTTCAAAATATGAAGCACTATTCAAATAGACGATAATGACTGTGAGGAATAGCCTATAATTCGAAAGGCTGTCACCATAACTTCTCCCTTATATTTCTGTGCAGCATGCAATCATTCTGCACAAAGCAACACTTGGCAGTGACTTCCTATTTCCTTCAGGACTATGATATTGTCATAAAATCCAAAGGCATTTTAGGGGTTTATTTTGTTCAAAAACAGGAAATATTTTCAGACCAAAAATGTTTATTATGTTTAGCATTAATGTTTTTTTATAGTGAATCTCAAATGATGGGTTTAGAATTAGGCTATATTTTTAGTCAAAATAGATTTAGACAAATAATTACAACTCCAGGGAGGTTGCTTTAATGAGATTCTATAAGTCTGTTGATAAATTGATATCTCTACTCTCTTTCACTTTTCATCACTTGTATTTCAAATGCCCCATCTGGGATGTTGTTACATGAGGCTGTTGTTTTCCATATGCTATGTGACAGTGCATAAACACTGTTTTTTCTCATTAAGATATTTGCAAACTGCTTTGAAAACCTGCAAAGGATTACGCAACTCTATGAGCCATTTTAAAACAAACGATGTAAAATGTTATCAAATTGTGACGTCACCTTTGTCAAATCACCAGTGGCAGCGAATAATGAATAGTGCTCGGCTTTGAACTGCTGTTTCAAGTCGTGCTGTCACAGCTGTCAAACCAAGTTTAAAATTACCACGTGCAGGCATAATATTTAGTCTATCATCACAATTTTAAAAAATTATCAGGGACTGTTTTTTGACAATTAAGATCATGGACATGATATGTAATTTGAAAGTCATTTACATTTTTCCAGGTACAAATCAGGGTGCAAATTAAGATGTCACAACTTCAAAACCAGGTCTTCAAAATTCTGCCAGGCAATGCACAGTATATCAGAGACACTCTTAGCTTATTTTATTATTTACAGTGAATAAAATTGCGCTTTATAAATAATGTTTTGCTGTGACACTGAAACATTTTGCACATACACCAGGTTATTTTACGTCTAGTGATTTGAAATGTATAAAGCACATTTAACCCATATTAGTGAGATTTCCTTTCAACCAACCTATCTTAATACATCTGAGCAAATTGGTCAGACTCAGGAGGAGTCAAGACGAGCAAGAGGGGCCTTTATAGCATTGGTTCTTAATTGCTGGGTCAGGACCCAAAAGTGGGTCACATGAGCCATTTTCCAAAAAAAATCAGATCAAAACGTTTTTAAAGCAATTTTAAACATACTTTCTGTTTCTTTGTTCTGTTATATGTTTTGTAACGTCTGAGATCCAAATTGCACGTTTCGGTGCAGGACTGGAAGTTGGTCTGGTAGCTGGAGAAGTGCCAGGGCACTTCCCGAGCAAGGCACCGAATCCCCAACTGCTCTGGTGCGCTCTCTGCTTAGCAGCTTGTAGCAGCCCCACTCTGACATCTCTCCACCATTGCATGTCCATAGGTCCTGTTTGTGCATGCGTGTGATTCGGGCCTATGTGTGTGAGAAGCATGTGTCTATAAATAACCAGAGTGTAAACCCGAATTTCCCTCAGGGATTAATAAAGGATATAAAAAAATCAAAATAAAAAAAAAAAAGTAATTAATGATCACTTCAGTGCTTAATGAAGTCAGTACAACACACCAACAGATTTAATATTATTATTATATACAGTATATAGACAATAAACCAACACAGAAGTGTCAAGTTTTCATTTAGTTTTTTATGTCAATCAAACAATCAAACATTATTTGTAGAGCACTAATTTACAACAAATGTTATCTCGAGACGCTTTACAAAAGATCAGGCAAAAGACCTTACTCATTGTAATGTGAAATGACACAAAGAACAGAAGTTATTTTATAAACTGTCACAAGTGGGTTTGTAATGAAGTCAAATTACTAAGAAGAAGGTCGAAATGTTGATGTAAAGAAGTGAACATTTTCAGAATAAAGTAACATTTTTGAGAATAGATTTGAAATGTTGAGAGAAAAGTCAAAATATCGAGAATTCAGTAGAAATTTAATTTTGTGAAATTTTGAACTTATTCTAAAAATTGTAATTCAATTTTATTCTCGACATTTAAACTTCTTTCTCAACATTTCGACTTACATCGAAGTGCCTAATGAAAAAAAGTATTCATATTCTTGTCCTTATGGTTGTACAGCTGTTAAGTGTGGGATTGCATTGGAAAAATAAGGCAATGTGTGAGTTTACTGTTATCAGAGAAAAACAGAGACATGTTACGTCTTCGGTGTTTATTTGGGGTCAGAATGCTCTGCGTAAGATTTTCCTGCCCTAACTGCCAGACTGTAAGTGAGAAGAATCTCCAGGAGAAAAATAAAATTCTTCTTGGGTCTAAAAAAATAACACTTGCCAGTGCTTTACTAAGTCAAAATGTGTGCAAACTTAAACAATTTCACATTTGATTTATCTGAGGGTCTAAAATGATAAAGACAAAATGCTGTCATTTCTTATATGACTACTGTTCAAAAGATATCAAAACCTCTTGTTTACCTATATTATCTCTGAGTTCAGAAACACAATATCACTGACAGTTTCTAACATTAAGGAGCCGTTTTATTGGCAAACTAAATCTCGTGTTTTTTGCTTACCACTTTTTATCGCCCAAATCCAGACATTTCATTAACAAGCCTGTGTTAAAGAAAAATGTAGACTACTTCTTTGTTAAGTTCTTGAGAGTGAACAGGTTAGTCCCTATCCCGTACACATATGGACTGATGGATGCATAGGAAGTGGAGATGAGTAACTCTATTTCAGCCCAAAAAGGAAACTCAATTGTGCTCAAAGTCAGATGGAAGATCAGATAGAGAGTCCAGTTTACCTGAAAGAGTCCCATAGCTGCCAGCACGGCGATGGTGCTTCTCTGGAGCTTCATATGTGTACTCTTCCTGCTGAAATGACTCGACCCGCTCACACTCCCCACCGGCTGCACCTTCCTCCTCTGTTTCATCAGCACCCTAATGATCAGGATGCCTGTTACTGTCACAATGATGAGAGGCAGCAGGTTGCACACAAGGAGGAACAGATATTTGAAAAATTGGTTGAGAGTGGGACAATCATTTTGACTGCATTGAAAGAAGTCTGGAGGGCAGACGCTGCTGTTTCTTGTGATGTTTGCTGTATGACCATGAGGGCTGATGACAAAAATGGGAACACTCAGTAAGAAGGAGAGCGCCACACAAACCCCGCTGACCATCCAGGCTAACCTGATGCTGTCCAGGAAAATTGAAAGATTGCCTCGTTTGCTTGCATCTCTTAACTTCTGGTAGCGGAAGATGCTGATGAGGACAGTGAAGAGGATGCTGGAAATTTCCCCAAACACAGTCAGGAACTTTAGCAAATGACACGCTAACGTACCAGTGGCTGTTGCGGTGGTGGAAGTCCAGTGGATTATTATATCATAGATGTTCACAATGATAATTTCCTCCAAGTTGGCAACAGCAAGTCCCAAAAGAAACAAGTCGAAGGATTTCACTCGAGAGAGCTGGTTCTGAAGGATGGAGACAATGAGAAGCACATTACCCAGAAATCCAAGGCAGGATACGAACATTGTGATTTCCAGGATGGCAGAGAAACTGACCATTATTTAAAGTGAGATCAAACAAAATTTCTGACAAGCAGGCAAAGATATGACAGTCCGACATGGAGCCAAGTCATTTCATGTCGCATCACTGACCGGAATCTGTGTGTTATCAAGTCCTCAAAGGTGGCAGGAATCATGGTTGCTGATTGGCTGTACTCATTACAGAGAAAGGAAAAACAAGAGGATGCTGGGAATCATTAAAGTTTTACCTTTGAGCTTTACATAGATTCATCTTGAGACCAACATGTGACTGATTGAAAGCACTGACAGGTTTTTCCACTAGATGACATCATCAAATGCAAATCCTTCATTCAGGATCACCACAAGACTTTTGGCAAGCTGTATTTTTACTTTCAAGTAAAGTCATATTTCTCCTCCTATCAATGAGGGATGTAACACATTTTGAGGCTCACTGTCCAAACCGTTGGTCTGTCTACCCATAGAGAAAGCAAACCATTGCTCTTTTCTTTCCAGATCGTTGACCTTGAGAAGACTCAGCAGTGGTTTCCTTACTGATATTAACCACAATATATACTACAAGATAGAAACAAATAATGGGCCATTTTAAAGTCTTCAATTTCATAATCTTCACCTTTCAAAGAGGAAATATTCTGCTTCTGAGGCTCAGACTTCTATAGAGTTCACAAAGTCAGCCATGTATCTAAACATAGCATTAGCCGCAAAAACTTCCTGTTTTCAGGGAAAGCAGATGAGTACACAAAGTAATATGAGAGAGGAGTTTTAAAAATTACATCAATGCATGTGGTTTCTTAAGGTTTTCTTTGTAAATGTTTAGGATAAACTGAAAAACCAATCGTTAATTACTGAAATATCATATAGGAATATATGTTTGAGTTGCTGCCTCTGTGTGTGTTTGTGTTTGTTTGTTTGTTTGTGAGTGTGTGTGTGTGTGCGTGCGTGCGTGTGTGCATGCGTGTGTGTGTGTGTGTGTGGTGGACAAACAGAGGAATACATAATGGGACAGGGGATTCTGGACTGTGTTATTCAAAGAGGACCAGTTCATGTCCCAGCTTGTCTCTTTTCCAATTTTACTGCACCGTCTAGTTAACAAGAGTTCTCTTCAATGGAGCCCTGCATCCTGATTCAGCTTAATTGTGAATCCCACTGTGTGCTCGTGTGTGTGTGTGTGTGTGTGTGTGGTGTGTGTGTGTGTGTGTGTGTGTGTGTGTTGTGTGTGTGTGTGTGTGTGTGTGTGTGTGTGTGTGTGTGTGTGTGTGTGCGTGCGTGTGTGTAATTAAAGATAAGCCTATGCCTGGACAGCTTAGGAAGTTGTAGTCCTTTTTCACTGTCCAATCCAATCAAAGGGCAGAATCAATTACTTTTCTCAGTTTCTTCATTGTTTCATTGAAGTAAGGTCCAATACACTTTCTTATGCCCATTTTTTTACTGCAACTCCAGCTCAGTAGAAATGTTTTTCTGTCTTATACAAAGACAGTTGGGGATTTCCACCAGCCACAGTCAGTTGTCTTCCTTATTTTGTATACAAATTAAATGGACTGAGCTTCATGGAAAACCCCAACTATATCCTACACTCATTGTCTGAAACTATCTAGGCCTACTGAAGGTTTTTAGTAGAGATAAATAAACTACTGTAGGCATTAGCATGTTCACAGTCACAATAATGACTTTGTGAGGCTCTAAAGGCGGTGCTTTGAGCCAAACAGCTCCTCAAAGGCCCTACACATTCAATGTGGGACTCAACACTTATTATTTTTTGGTAAGCTAAAACAGAGAGAGAGAGAGAGAGAGAGAGAGAGAGAGAGAGAGAAAGAGAGAGAGAGAAACAAAGAGTGTTATACCGGGTCAAGAGTAGTGAAATTATTTACATGCACAATAAAAGAGCTGTACTTTTACTTTTACTTAAGTAGGTTTTCTGTTAAGTATTGTAATTCAGTACATTTTAAATCACATCTGTTAGTGAGTAAAAATTATTTACATGCACAATAAAAGAGTTCTAATCACTCATCTGAATTGACTATTTTATGTTTTCTGATGATAAAAAAAGAAAATAAATTAGTTAGCTATGATTTTTTTAATCTGGTGGAGATTGTTAGCTGCACCTGCATGCAGATATCTATTTATAGAGATAAAGAAATCACCGTCAGATTACCACCCTTAGGAGCAAGGATGTCATTGTTTGGATTCCGCCAGCTTTTCTCTCTAGTATGTGGACATAAATAGCTGCATACACAAGGCATGCTGATACATCATAGGGCTTTTTCAATAGAACAGAATACACCTATAGCAAGTAAGACCAGACCATATGTCTATTAAACCAAGTCCAGGCTTTTGTCCCAGTTACAATCTAATCTGTATACTGGAGATTGTACTGACAAGTATTTGAAAAACTCTGAACACTGAAACATGTCAATAAGCATAATAAAACGTATACGCTTTTCCTATTATGATAAATCAAAATCTCTTCCATGAGGGGGAGCTCTTGAAGCTCTTGTATGTATTATTCAGTTAAAGACTTGGACTTGACTTAAATAAGCTTGAAGTCATAACTTAAACGTGCTCTTTACAATTTAAACTTGAAAAAAGTCCAACTTATGCGTTGGCACCTTGGGTACGATGCTCCATGTCATTTAAATAACAGTAAGCAGCAATCAGACACACATATCTCTTGCCCATCAATCTGTCAAGCCAGTAGTTATATTGCTTGATGGAATAATTACATTTCTGGTCCCTGGTTATGTATGTGCCAAATAGTTTGGTAAATTTGGTTTAAAAACAACCTCAGTAGGGATATGCTCCATGAATCTCACTGAACTAGAGTTATTAACACAAAGACATTTCTAGGTTATTACAAGTCTCAGTGACGTAACCCGCTGACACTCATCATATTGGAAATGTGTGCTGAATAAATTTCATGGTTGCTGAAACACCTGGTATGTTTCGCTCGTCATCACGCTATATATATATATATATACACACACACACACACACTAAACTATAAAAGATACACAAACAAAGACAGCGGTTCAAGGTAATTGAGGTGGGATCAGTTAAAACGCTTAATTAAGTAAAAGTTCATCAAACTGTAGAATAATTAAAAATTCTACATTTTACCCATTATTGTAATGATGTACAAACATAGTTTAATTTGACATAAAACCATATCATTAAGTGAAATGAAAATTAAATGAATGTGTAAAAATACTTCAAATATAAGTTTGCACATGACAGCAACATTGTAGGGTTCCTCTGCTCTTTACACAAAGATGCACACACCTGTGAGTCTTAAAGGGGTCATATTATGCTTTTTCTGGTTTTATATGCTCTTTAGTGTGTTTTCCAAGTGTCCTGTGCATGTTTAGGCACATCTATGTGCAAAAATTCAAAGTCCGCAGAAACGCGGCTTCTCCTATGTCCTCCTGTTAGCTGCAGCATTAGCTGCATGTAACGCTCGGTTCTAGCCCCCCTCGAAAAACTTTTGCCAGTGTGACATCTTGGCCCATTGGCTCGTTGTGGCAAGCCCAGCAGCTCATGTTGCACGCCCATTAACTTCTGTAGCACGCCCACGATATGCTGTAGCCTGCGATTGCACAGTAGTGCTAAGGTGCTAATCTTTTTGCTCGGCCCTCGGAGCCAAAGTGGCTGCATTCCCAATATGGTAAAAGGGGCGTGAATTTCCGAGAACTGTGCTGAGCGACTGACCAATTACGGCAGAGCCAACAGGCCGACCAATCAGATCAGACTTGGCACACGTGGGGACTCTGAACGTGGGCACTTCAGAGCCTTAGAGAGAGCGTCAGAAGCGAGCCGGTGCATGGAGCGGCAGTACATGAAAACAGACACTTTTTTCAAACTTTAGCTATTGTGAACATACTTTAGTAGGTACATAGATGAAATATACGAACCCCAAAAAGGGCATAATATGACCTCTTTAAGTTTGTATATGTACACTCAGTGACAAAGGCTGTATACTAATACATAATACATCCAACCTTCACAACATAGCCCTTGGTCTCTAGCTAGACTCTATACCTCTGTCGCCCCCCGGTGGTGGAAGGAACTACCAAACTCCATTTGTACCTTTAAGAAAAAGCTCAAGAAACAGCTCTTTCATGAACACCTATGACCTTAACGATATTGATGATGATGACTTTGTTTGATAATGATAATGACGACATTTAGGATGGCTTTGATGCTGATTAGAACTCTCAAGAGCAGCAGTCGATGTTGATGTTGGTGATATAAATAACTTTTTATTTTAAAAAGAGGGCTTCGCCTCTGTGCACAGCCTGTCAGCGTCCTGTGTCCGATCAGACTTAAAGCTGTTCGATTGCACTCACTGATGTTATTTCCTCCTTTCTAGATTCTTGCTTGTGTTGTATTACTCTCTGATGTACGTTGCTTTGGATAAAAGCATCTGATAAATGAATTGTAAAATGGAAATGAAATCCTGCTCCTGGCCTTTCTTACAATAAATGACTATATTAAATAATTTAGGCTGTTGTATTCTTTTGCGTTGTGCGTGCATGGCGGTGCGCTACATTCTATGCCTTAACCACTTCAAGGAACAGTGGGGGCCCGCAGGTTCTGGCAACCTTATCTTGGGGGTCACAAGCTGAAAAGTTAAGGAACCCCTGGACTTTGTATGCCTTTATTTAGAGACAGGACTTAGAGCCAGAAACTGGGGAGAGAGAGAGCGAGAGAGAGAGGAGCCACAGGTCAGATCAGAGCCCAAGCTGTCTGGAGGACTGCAGCCTCCATGCACCAACCATCTACAGTAGTTTTTAACAATAAGGAAAATGTATCTATAAAGACCAAAACTGTTTTTTGTACCAGGCTATAGACATGTTTGTTTCTGTTCTCAAAATATTTAACATGGGACTCTAAATGGAGATTATTTGGTTTTGGGAGCCAGCCTCAAGTCCACAATTGACGAACTGCAGTTTGTAGGATTTCATGTTTCGACACCAGAAATTGTAATCACAAGTCAAAAATGAAATAATGAGTTTCTTCAATACACA